CCTGTGAATCCCTGGCACTTTACATATGCTGAAGACAGGGATCGATTCTTATCGCCTTCTGAATGTCCCCCACCATTTAGTATAGGCCCTTATACGTTAAAAATCTTCAATAAGCATTAAATCAACATATATTTATTAAGCATTATCTATGTGCAACACTCTATACGGGGCCCTATTTAATGGATTAGCCACCAAAATAATGGGTTTGGGAAAACAACTCTAATAGCTTAACTGCCAACTCTAAAGGCTACAACAGATTTACTTAAAGAGTATAATGCATAAGAAAGTGCCTTGGACTAAGAAGCTGTGGGGCTCAAGATACTTTCCAACTACTCCAAAAACTGGAAAAAGTCCCTTCCCCCGCTCATTACAAACAGCTGAAATAAGAATGAGGTGTTTTACATTTGTGCCCAAAGCCATGTTAAATACAGACTCTCTCAGGCTCTGCAGGGGGTCCCTGTCTTCTGGCATTACCATGCTCTCTACAGAGGAGGAAAAAGCCTGGGGAGTGCTTGGCCTGTCCAAAGTCACAGGCAGGGAGGCCCCACAGTAGGAAGAAGCTGAGATGGCCCAGAATAGCTGGAGGTCTGCAGGACAAAGGACTACCTCTAGCATTTTATGTGTGAAACTCAGCAACTTCCTGTAATTCACTATCAACCTGGTAGTGCTGATACACCCTAGCATTTAAAATACAGTATCTTCCTTTGGGTTCCAACCAGCTCGGGAATGATCTTTCACTTTTCTAACGTTCCTGTTCAGGTGGAGAGAATACTCACGAGACACAGGTGTTAGTTTCAGTTCTGCCAGGTACTCCCTGAGTGAATTCTAACAAGTTGTCAAATGGAGATAATAAGATCTAAACTGCATACTTCAAAGACATGAGGATGTAGACGTGAGGACAAAATCAGATAAATGGGAAAGTAATTCGAAAAGTTAAAAGCACTCAATACAAACGTAAGATAGCAATGGTAATACTAGAGGGAAAAGAGACTCCACTATGTTTGAAACTATATGGATGGTTCCGTCTGACCCAGCAGTTTACCGTCCTTTCTTTACATTTCATTCAACATTACCAATTAGGTACCTACTATGTGCAAGATAGTGTGTAAACAAAGAGGAAGAGGTTATAAATCCTGCTCTCAGAGTTTACACGGGAGAGAGGTGCACATTTGTGAGATGGAAGGACGTGGAAGTACTATAGAAGTCTTATGGAAATACAGAATAAAGTAGTTTGGGTGGGGGTGGGCAGAGAGGAGAGGGGAGAGAACAGAGAGGGTCTCAGAGAGGCTGGAGAGCCACTTCTTCCATCAGTCGATCTAACAACAGCACTCTTAGAGACTCTTCATTTCAGGAAGTGGCTTGTAGGTTTTGCATGTTTTTATCAAAAAATTTTTCCCGAGCTAAGGCAAGGCAGTACATGGGAAAAAGTCGTCATTCATACATTCAATAAACATTTACTGGTTGCTGGGATCAGTGCTGGGGGTACAGTGTGACCAAGAGACAGTCCCTGTTTTCAACAGCTCATAGACTAGTGGGGTTACTGACAAGTAAACCAACAATTCAAGTACAGATGCTAATGAGGGTCAGAGAAGGGGCACCCAACTCAGCTTGGCAGGCTGTGGGCAGCCACTGACTGACTCTTGAAGGATGAGTGGCTGTTGGCCTGATAGATGGGGGTGGGAGTAAAGGGCATTTCAGGCAGAGGAAACAGCACATAGAGAGGAGCAGGGGCACGAGAGACCAGGAGAAGCTTGGACACTGGAGTAAAGAGGGACAGCCAGATCCAGAAGGCCTTATAAGTCATGGCCCAGAGTTAGGCCTTCATCCTGATGATGCAGAGGGTATACAGAGTGAGAACAGGCAAAAAAAAAAAAAAAAGAGGACTGACCCCAAGGAATACCAATATTTAAGGGGGCAGACCGAGGTGGAAGAGCCCAGAAGAGTCAGAAAAAAATCATATCTGCATATTCTCCATTCTTTTCACAACAGACTTGGATGACAAAGTGTCACCTGGGATTATCCACTACATGCTATAGTTGGAGAAAACAAGACAGAGAAAGGTTAAATGCTTGACCAGGCCACATTGTGAATGAGAGAACCAAAACCTGAACTCAGCACTCTAACTCCTAGCCAAACTTACCTGCACTGACTCTAATTTCCTTTGTTCTGAGTCAAACTCCTGGACCCCTAGGTACAGGAAGATTTCCTCCAGTACTCCTTTTTCCTCATCATTCAAGCCTAAAATCATCAAGGTGTGTAGTTCCAGAGAAGGCTAGAATCCCTGGAGATAGCTAAGTCAGATTAAGGTCACTATTCTTAATTCTACTTAATTCTCCCTCCATACCATAATAAAGGCACACACACAGGAAGAAAGAGGCGGAGACAAGGAGGAGGAGAGGAGAAAGAGAAGCACTTGGCTTGGGACCAAGAGGTGGATCAGCCATCTAAAATGTGAACATCAAATGCCTTCTTCCTAGCAGGGCACACCACTGGGCCACCTTGCTGAAAGGCTGATGGGTGGATGAGTGGATGGGGAGATGGTGTAGGAAGGCAGCAGGTACTCACTACACAAAAAAGGGGTGGGCGGGCTGCATGCACAGAGGAAGCAGAGAACAGAGACCTCTCACTCTTCATGCAAAGTCCACAGTGTGCAAAGGGCATCAATATTGGACATTTCTCACTGTGACATTTTGAAAGCCCAGCCTAGTCCAGAACAATGGTTCCCCTCTGGGGACCATGAGCTGTGTGCCATTAGGCCTTATTCAATGATGGCTGGCGTATCCCAAGTGCTTGATGAACTTGACCTTGGGCATCAGCCTCCCATGATGGCTCTACGTCACTCTGGTCTCTTCCCCCACTGAGAATTCCAGTTTCAGATGAATGGATGGATTCATTCTAGGAGCAGGAAAACCACTCTAGGAGTGAATCAGAAGGACCCAGCCCTGGTCTCCTTGCCAGCCATTGAACAAGGAACTGAGTGCAATTGTGTGCCCAGGCACTGGTGCTGTTCCTCTCTCAGGGAGAGAGGGTCAGGGTCCACGCAAGAGATGACGTAGAAGCCTCTAAGGAGGAAGAGAAAGGAATCTCAGCTTTGAGGGACAAAGCCACCCTTTTGGTTGTGATCCTCAGTCCAGCGAGGTGCCAAGACGTGCATGTACTGATAAATTAATTCTACTGGATAAAAATCTCAGCTTTTGCTAGACAGTTGTTATCAATTTCAATTCTCTCCAACCTGACAGACTTCAGGAAACAGGCTACTAGTTTTTCAGGAAAAAATTTTCTGCAGGACAGGTGGAAACAATGTGCTTCAGATCACCCAGAGAATCCTTTACCTTTAGTGGTCTCTGCTCTACTCTTCTCTGGATTTGTGAAGAAAAGATCGATTCACTTTTAAAAATTGTAAATGCCAACCTAAGCAATATAAAGAACCTGCACTTTCTGCTTCTTACCTTGAAAAATTAGGCAAGAGAACTCCAAAGATTCAAGATGCAGCAGGCAAGAGGACATCTACATCACAAGGTTGGGGACCCAGGCTGACACTTTAAGGAAATAATTCCTCTAGGAAAGGGAACTGAAGGACTGCCACTTTGCCCATCGCTAACTAGGTTATAACAATATGAGACAGTTAGTTTTTTAAGGCTCCAGCTCCCTATCAGCCTCCTGGAGCAAAGGTGGAGGGAAAAAGAGAAGCTCCTGATGGGGCTTATTAGGGCATAGCTCGGGGCTTCCCTCCACATGCTGGTGCCAATTGTCTGACATCTGTCCATCGATCTTCACCTAAGAAGCAGGGGAGATGGGGGGACAGAAATGGTTTAAATTTTACATTAGAAAGTTGTCCTTAACACTGACTGACATTAGCTGCTTGTGGCCAGAGCTGTCTCCACTGACGGCCAAATGTGAGCCTGCAAAAGCCTTCCCAAAGGATATTCTACTATCTTTATTCATTCATAACTAGTTATCGCGCACTTACTTTGCATAAAAAAATAGGCTAGACTCTGAGAATAGAGTGGCAAACATGTTCCCTACACCAATGGAACTCAGTTTCCAAAAGGGTTGATTCATCTCATACATCTCTGGGGGTCAATGTATTCACACAAGCACACTATATAGTTGGATTCCCTGAGGTTTGGAGTTGTGGATATACAGGTCCTTGAGCCTGAAGGTAAGGTCCTTTGGGAAACAGAGTCGTATAAAATAAATCAACCGTTAAACATTATGAAGTGTCTACTACCAGCCGAGTATCACACAGTTCCCTAGCAACGAGCCTTCCAGCTCTGGAGTTGTGACTGTACTACTCCAAGACGTCCCGGGCTTCTTTTCTCATCACCTGATAGTTCCCATGTTTAAGCTTACCTATGTCTATTTTAGAGTGAAAAGAGTGAACGGGTAATGGCCTTGGACATGATTAAAACTAGTCCAATCCTATCCTGGGAGTGTGGGTGTGGGTGTTTAATTCTGGCCACTTCCAAAAGAGAAGCAAGTTTTGTCTTTTGAAGACCGTTAATTGGTGCAAAGGCTAGTCATCCGAAAAAGAGTGGGTTTTGATCAGCGAACGGGGACCCAGACTGACAGAGGGCCAGAGCCCTGGGGCTGATGGGAACGGTGGAGAGATGCGAGAGATGCCCACAGGGGAGAAAGAAGACACTCCACCTCAACGATGTTTAAGAGGAGGGAACAGAGAAGTCCCTCACTTCAAGCACCTGGGAAAAGATGGGACAGGCTCCTCCGAACATAGAGTCAGGAAACGAGTCAGACCCGGGATCCCAGGCTAAGGGGATCCCCCGCCCCACTTCCCGGTGAGTCCTGCCGAGAGATGGGGACGCCAGGGAAGCACCGGAGGAAGGCCCCTTGAACGACTCGAGAGCCGGCGCCCGTCGGGCCCTGCTCTGGGGCGGCGAGTCCGTGAGGGCAGCGCGGGCAAAGGGACTCAGAGGGACGCAGGGCCAGGCGCACCGCGGGCCCAGGGCCCCAGCGGCCCCTGCCGCCCGGGCCTCACTCACCAGCTCATGGTAATCCACCTGCCCCGCGCTGCAGTCCTCAGCCACCTCTCGGTCCTCGGGGATCACTTCCGGATTCAGCCAGTCTCCAGGAAGTGACGTAGGCCCCGCCCCCAATGCCCGGAAGCGGCGGCTGGGAGGTGGGGCGGGGCGTTAACCCTTCCGCCGCCGCGGGGTTCCCGCCGATTTGCCCTGGCTCGGGGCCCTGCTGCCTTGGCGGGGGCACAAGGACCCCTGGGGGCGTTTTCTGCCTTAAACATTGATGTGTAGGGCCGGCTCTGTGGCTTAGCGGTTAAGTGCGCGCGCTCTGATGCTGGCGACCCGGGTTCGGATCCCGGGAGCGCCCCGAGGCACCACTTCTCCGTCCAGCGCGAGGCCGAGTCCCACGTACAGCAACTAGAAGGATGTGAACCTATGACATACAACTATCTACTGGGGCTTTGGGGGGAAAAAACTGAATAAATAAAATCTTTAAAAAAAACAAACAAACAAACAAAAAAAACATTGACGTGTAAAATTGTCTTCTGCTGACTACACGTGTCGCTTAACGGGGTTATTGCCTCAGTTTTTCTGTTAAGAAATTTCTAATCCAGAGACAGGAGCAGTAATTGTTTATGGGAGAAAGAGCCCTTGGGGAGGGGTGTGAGGGAGACTTACATTCACTTATGGTCTTTTGTATGTTTTAAATTTTGTACCCTGTACATGGGTTACCTGTTACCGACAAACAAATCGATCTTTTTCCACCTTGAGGATGGCACAGGGCGCTGAATATAAATGGGACAGGTGCTTTTCAAGTTGGAGTGTTCTGTGGATTTACTCAACAAAAGAAGACAAAGAGTAGGGGTGGCTCCCTTGCCTCTGTGCTCCCCTCTGTGGAACCCACATGATGTGAATGGTCCCATTCTTTCTACTCATCGTTTAACAAACAGTCATTAAGCTACTATGATGTCCCAGGCACTGTGTTGACCCCCAAGATGCAACCATGAAAAAGTAGTATGGATCCTGCCTTATGCTCTCCCAGAGCTCCTTACCTGGAGGGAGAGGTAAATAGGCAACCACGTGATTGATGATATATGATGGGAAAGCACAGGGGCTGTGGCAGCCTGGAAGGGGGGCCCCCTAAGCTACACATGCGGTTTTAGTGAAGGTGGAGCCAACGTATAATCCAAGTCTGAAGGTGAATCAGGCTAGCCAGGTGAATATGAGGTGAGGACTGGAGAGGGTCCAGGCAGAGGGAACTTATCTTGGTCGAGAAGAGGCCTGAGTTCCAAGCACGCAGCTCACTTGCCTGGGGTCCCCCAAAGTCAGAATTCAAGGCCTTAGTGCCTCATAAGCTGCCTGGGGTTCTGGGCTGTGTTGGGCTCCTCACTCCCAAGAATTTCCCGCCTTAGGAGAGAGAGGAGCAGGCAGTGAGGAGGAATCCATTCTCCTTCAAATGTACTCTAGTGTTTTAGGGGCTGCTGGAAGAGTAGCTAAGCCAATGAACTAGAGCAGAAGACGTGTATGATTTGCTCTGACCTCCCAGGGCAGGGTGGAGGGCTTGGTCAGCGGGAGTAGGGGAGCTCAGAGGATTGTCCACAGGAGGTCGTCTCTCATTTGCGTTTTTTGTTTCCATTCTTGAGGGTCTAGAGTTTGTCTCAAAAGTTTTCCAATAGAGAGTGGCCCCCAAGCACATCACACAGCTCAGCTTCATCACCATGTTATTCCTCAGGGAACAGGCCCAGATGAGCACTAGAGCAGCTTTGAAGAGTAAGGAGGAGGAGGAGAAGTCACCACACGGCAGCCGGGCAGAGAGTGTGGGCCAAGGGAGGGACAGTCCTTGCTGCTTTGCACAGGGTGTGATGGATGGATGGAGGGTGCTGTGTATGTGTATGAGCCTCCTGGCATTTCAGCTCCTGTGGATGGCTCTCCCACCTGCTTCCTCCTTTCCCCACACTCTGTCTCCTAGTTATTGCCCCATAGTGCTAAAGAATTTCCCAAAGTATTAGCCTAGACAACTGACATATCCCAGGGGAAGTCTGTTTTAGGGCTAGAGGGTAGGAGACACATTCTGTAGGGCAAGAACAATGAGTTCTGGCTGAAGAGTCTGGAGAAGTCCTGGGCTCTAGTTCCATCTTTGACACTACAGCTGACCTCAGGCAAGTCACATCCCTTCTCTGGGCCTTAGTCCCCTCATCTAGAAGATGAGTGGATGGATAACATTGCCCAAGTCTCTGACATTTTGAGGTTCCAACTCAACTGTCTTGTTGACTCCAGAGGCCCTCAGGAAATAGAATGAGGGAGGCTTATGAGGTGGGGCCTGAGCAGAGAGGCAAGCTGAGAGAAGTGAGCAGGTCTGAGGAGTCAGCGATGTATTAGGATGAAGCCAAATCTGAACCTTCTGGGAGGAAAGGCTTCAGCCTGAGGCCCTACTGGGGCTGTGCTGCTTACCTCCAACCCCAGACCTTTAATGCAGCCAGCAGGACCTTTGAGGTTACTGAGAAGAGTGCTGGCCTCCCAGAAGTCTGTCTGGAAAGTATCTGCTCTGAGCTGAGCTCTGTCTCCTTACCTGTGGTTCATTTGCTCACTTTGAGGCATGCTAGGCTGAGGATGCATGGTCAGGCATCCTGCTGTCCTGTGGACCCACAAGCTTCCCTCCGTGAGCATGGTATGCCATGTGGCATTGATCCCTGGGGAGCTGAACACGAGGAAGCACAAACACCTCTCACTGTTGTGGAAAACTCAGCTTCAGGGTCTCCAGACCCAGGGTTGGGAGATGTTTTTCTGTTTTGGAACCAAAGGATGTCACAATATGGTTGATTCTGCCCCTTCAGGGGAGGGATGGAAAAGGAGCAAATTTGGTTTCTAAGTGGAAGCTGAGAGTGGAGGAGCTTCATGTAGAGGTGGGTGCTCCTGGTTTCAAGCCTAGTGGATACTGCTTCCTCCCCAGAAGTCTGAGCCTGAAGTTAGAAGAGTGTTCAGGTGGCAGAGATATCTTTGGGAGGCAAAGCTGTTTACCAGAGGGAAAGCAGCTGAGGAACCAGCTCTGCCACCAGACCCCTGACTGTTCCTTGGAGCTTTTTACTCAGAAATTGGTAAGCAGTGCTCCCCATGATCCTCATCTCTGAGCCTCTTATGTATGCCCTCTTCCAGCCTTCCCCACAGTGGGGTCTAGGGCTGACCCTCTGATTCTTTCACTGTGCCAGCCTCTAATCATCTTAGAGTAAGGACTCCAGAACTGGACCTGAGCCATTAGGGGCTTCATTAGAGCTTAAGGGCTGAGACTGAAGGGGCTGAATGCAAAGGGGCCAAATCGATGGGCAGAGCTCCCTTGCAGCCCTGAAGGCCTTTGTATCTCAGGGAGGCTCCTGCAGCATAAATTAAGACCCAGACCCTCAGGTTTCTATGTGATTTCACTCTCCACTTCTCCCTGTTCTGCAGTTGTTCAGCAAGATGCCTCAGAACAACAGGGTTCTCTAGGCAGCTGTGGGCCAAGGACAAGGGAGAGGAGCACGGGTGGGAGAAGAAGGAAGATATTAGACTTAGACTTTCCAGTGGGGAAGCCACTGGACGGCTCAAAGCTCAGGATGAAGTGGCAGATTAGAAGTTGGGCTGCCAAGCAGCAGTCAGGGCCAGGAATAGCTGTCTAGACCCTGGCTTTGCCTTCAAGTAGCTTGAGGGAGTCTCTTCCCTCCTCAGGGCCTCATCTTCCTTGACTGTAATGTAAAGAGTCTAGGTTAGATCCCACATGCCAACTCCACCACTTGATACTGGCTGCCTAGAGTGCAGTGTTGAGGAATCTGGGGAATCTGCTGTTGATGGAGAAGTTCTGTGATTGATTAACAATGTCTGCCTTGGATGAGTAAGGGGGATGTGATGGTACACATTCCACTTTATTATTATTATTATTATTATTGTTTTTTTTTGGTGAGGAAGATTAGCCCTGAGCTAACATCTGTTGCCAATCCTCCTCTTTTTGCAGAGGAAGATTGGCCCTGGGCTAACATCCATGCCCATCTTCCTCTACTTTATATGGGACACTACCACAGCATGGCTTGATAAGCAGTGCGTAGGTCTGTGCCCAGGATCCGCACCTGTGAACCCTGGCCTGCTGAAGCGGAGCATGTGAACTTAACCACTATGCCACTGGGCCAGCCCCTGTTGTTCTTATTTTTATTACGAGTTAGTAATTGAGCACTCACAATGTGCTAGGCACTGCTCTAAGCAGTTTACATTGAATCTTTAAACAACCCTATGAGATAGGTACTATTATTGTTATCAGCGTGGAGGAGCAGAAGCACAGCCAGTAGGTGGTAAAACGGAGATTCTAACCTGGGTGACCTGGCTCTGACACTTATGCTTTTTGCCACTGTGGTATACCACATCTTGCTGATGATTCCTGAGGTTCCTGACAATCATGGCTCTGTCAAGGCAATATGGGGTCAGAAGCCAGGAGACAGATGGAGCCAAGAGAAGCACAGCACTGAATGGCCCGGGTGGGGATGGAGGGCGGCCAGTGCACAAAGGATCCATGCTTGGCCTCACCCTGGGAGCCTTTATATGCTTCCTGTAGTTTGGAGAGCTCAGGACCAGCAGGTGGCAGCACATGGCAGGGTGAGAGAAAAGGGCAGATCCTGGCTTGGCATGGAAGTCCTTCAGGGATCAGACAGCCCAGATGTCAAGGAAAGCAAGAACAACTGAATGTGTGGAGGAAGGCTAGCCAAAGGCCCAGAGGAGGGGGCCCAAACCTCAGACCCACAGGGAGCTGCCACGGCCAATGCTTTAGTTCCACCCGCAGCGAGAGCCTCTCAGCTTGCATTTCATGGTGCCTGCTGTGGGCTTTCTTTTCTTCCACTCTGGGAGAATGACTAACTTTAAGGACTAAAAAAAAAAAGTGTTTTGATTACACTGCCTTTTTACCAACTGGGAGCATTAGTCACCGGATTGCTGCAGATAACGGGGAAGGCAGCAGCATCCCCCTCCTCCCCCTCTTTCTCCCTGATTAGCTCACAGAAGCCAGGGAGGAGACGCAGTGAGAGAGAGAGTGCACCCAGGAGGGAAAACAGTCCCCACTGGACGACGTGTGCCCCAGGCATCTGTCCGAGGGCTGCTTGGTCAAGGCTCGGC